TAAATATAAATAAAGTAAAGTAATGTATTTGGTAATTTGATGTTTTTAAATGAAGAGGGAAATTTTGGTGTATTCAAGTTTTTTGGAAGAGAAAAAAGAGGGAAATTTTATTCTTTGAATTTTTTAGAAAAGAAACAAGTGGGAATTTTGGTGGTTTTGATATTTGGGAAGAGAAAAAAGTGGGAAAAATTGATTCTTTTGATTATGAAAGAGAAATAAGGAGGGAAACTTTTGAGTTTTCAACTTTTTGTAGAAGGAAAGAAAAGGGTAATTTGGTTCTTTCAATTTTATGGAAGAAAGAGGAGGGAAAATTGAGTTTTCTAATGTATGGAAGTAGAAAGAAGGAGGAAAATTTTAGTATTTTTGTGAAAAGAAATAAGGAAACAAATTTGGTGTTTTCAATTTTTTTGGTTTTTCATAATTTTAGCTTTTGAAATATGAATCTTTAACATTTATATGGAGGGCATGAGAAGATAAATGTTAGAAATCTCAAATTTTTTAGCAATTAAGAAGAGGACTTTGTTTGTTCATGTGATGGTTGACATACTTTCTTGATTTCTTATTTTGAATGTTGGATTTTATTTCTAGAAAGACAATCAAAATGGAAAAAGGGATAGAAACACATTAAAAGGCTGCATTCATAATTAATTAATATGTTTGCATTTAATCAGAATGAATAAGAAGCTTTTTAAAAAATTAAGGGTAATGTCTATTTTTTATTCATATATTTTTTAATTTTTTTATATTATCCAAACCTATTAAAATTCTATTAATTAGCCAAATCTTTTGTAATGCATCAAAATATTAGCGATTTATACGTTACCGTGAATAATTTTGTAACTCTTTTCTTAGTTAAAATACTAAAATTTTGGAATGTTGATCCATATGTCTCTTAAATTAACAATTATTGCTCATCAAGTTTATATTCAAACCTTTTGTTATAGTTTATAATTGTTTTACGGGTAATGTCTATTTTTTTATCCAAACTTTTTTCAGATTCTTTTATATTATCCAAACCTATCGAAATACTAAGAATTAGCCAAATGTTCACTTCCAGTTAGCAATTTTGTTAGTAATCTTGACTTGGCAACATGATAATGACTTGAAAGAGACACATGAAGGTCAACATTCCAAAATTTTAGTTATTTAACTAAGAAAAGACAGGGGCCAAGCCAGGATTTCGAGACCGGGAGGGCCGAAAATAATTAAACAAAATGTATGTAGCCATGGTGGATCGATCCTGTGTGCTTTAAAACACAAAACAAGCTTGTCTACCATTAGACCACATGACTATTACACAATAGAATTTACGGAACAAGTTCTACTTATAAATTTCGTAGTAAATATCCTTACGATCCTAGGGTCGGGACCAATCGGGGGGGGGGGGGGGCACCCTACCTTGAGTGTAGCTCTGCCCCTGAGAAAAAAGTTACACAATTATTAACGATAACGTAAAAATGGCTAATATCTTGATGCATTACGAAGATTTGATTAATTAATAGCATTTTAATAGGTTTGAATAATATAAAAGAATCTAAAAAAATATTTGGATAAAAATAGACATTACCCTTGTTTTATTCGATAGGTATATACATAAGGAAGAAGTGAGTGTTTGATTGCAAAAAATATATAGTCATATAGTTCATTTTTCAAAGTCGATTGTCAAACAATTCACTTAGACCATCGTTTATATTTTGTTTAATTGGAAAATATTCTTATTTATGTTTGTTAGTTTATTTTTTTAGTTTTAGTAAAAAAGAGTAGAAAATTTACTTATTTAGATTTAGTCAGATATTTTGGGTTAAACAAACACGATATATGCCACTCTCTGTTTCCATCTCTTATAGTTTGTTTAGTTTAAAAAAGATTATTACTTATGTGGGTGTTTGTTTGTTTGTTTAAATGTTTCATAAAAATGTAACTTATTTTTAGTTTTAGTAAAAATGAGTAGAATTATTAAAAAAAGAGAGATAACTCTATAAATAGATCAATAAATAAATTTTTGTTTGTAAAAATAAATGGTCCTCCTTGACAATTTGTGAATTCACCAAGTGCTTATGTGACAATAAGTTACTTTTGACTGTTAAATGAGAAGGATTCACCTGGGTGTAGCTCCCCTAACTAGCTACCATAACTTAGATGACTGAAAATGTGTGCTGGAGGTGATTGAGAATCATAAGAGAATCATAAGGATAATCCACAAACCGCACCAACCCGCATCTTTGGTTACCCCCATACCCACAAGTTGTGGGTAGTGGGTTAGGTGTGGGTAGTAAAATAACAATTTTTGTGGTTAGTGGTTATCCACTACCCACCACGGTTAACCCACAAAATCCACAATAACCACACTAATTATATTGATTTAGTGAATTAACTTTATAATATAATAGTATGTGAAAATTGTGAGGATAAAAATTAGAGTAGCTACCAAATAAAAAAGTCACACCTAATCAGTTTTATGAAAGAATTTTTTAGTTTATAAAACACTATAATCGATAGAGCGGAGAATAATAAATTCATTAAAAGTGAACACCTTTTGTAACTTTTATTAGTATGTTTTTGCTTTTGTGTGAAAAAAATACAAGATCATATTTAATTGTCATATTTCACCCCTAGTCGGGGAAATATGAAACCATAGCTCTCTGACACAAAAGTTGAATAGCAAACTAAAAAAAAAAAATCTCCACGTTGAGTAAGATCGTTGTACAAAATTGTATCTCCACGAACAACACCAGTGTATATCACTATAGTTTAGTTACGAATAACAAATACGTTAATGGAGACTAGAACTCTGTGTTTGCAAAGATGGATTTTTGCGGGTAACCACACCCAACCCGCACAAACCCACAGTGGGTAGTGGTTACTCACTAACCACTGTGGTGCGGGTTGTGGATAGCATAATTGTAAATTTGTGGGTGTGGGTCCCCGCAAAATGTGGGGCGGGTAACCACACCCACCCCATTTCCACCCCTAATTCCATACAATCAATCACATGGTAGAAGTTAGGATTCACAACCACCAAGTGAAAAGGGAAACTACTCCATGCTAGGAGAGGGGAAAACACAAGGAGAAAGAAGAAAACCCATAACGGAGATGCTTGATTCTTCCTTTGTGTAGAAGAGATCTTCCTTTGGAGAAGATTTTCCCAAATCCTTGCCTTGGAGTGAAACCCTAGCTTCTTCTGTCTTCTTGCTCGTCACTTTCTCTCTCTAGAAATGCAGTCAAAATCGCGCTTTAAAACTTAAAAGTTTACGCTTTTACCCTTTAGGTCACCAAAATGATTCTACTTAGAATCGTGATTTTCCTTACAAATGTAGTAAAAAACTAAGTTTTAAAACTTAAAAGCTTACGGTTGTATGCTTCTAGGTCACCCAACCGCTTCTAGGTAGAATCGCGCTTTTGACTGCATTGCTCTCTAGAATGTTGAAGAAGAAGTTTTTCTCACTCAAGGTCTCCTCTCCCTTTTCCATCAGCTCAATCCTCCTTTTATACCCAGGTCCGGCTCAAATCACGGTCCCAGTTCACGATCGTAAACTCAAGGCGGGGATCGTGATCTCGGTCAAAGACGCACCACATCACTAACTCACTTCACGGTCTCTGGCTTGGGTTCACGGTGGTCCAGTGAGACCCAAAATGGCTCTGGACGCCTGGCGGTTCACGGTTTGCGGCTCTAGTTCATGGTCTCCCTGACCATGAACTCGCTGCTTCCACCGCGATCTACTGTTTCCTCCATTCTTTGACCTTATTTTGCGCATTTTCGTCCAACTTTCGACTCCGGGGTTGGTTCCACCTGCTATAGTCTAAAACACACTAAAAGGAGGCAACAACCCCCCAGAGTACAAATGCCTCAAACGACTAAGGAAAGCAGGGGTAAAAAGTGTACAATTAAGCCCGAATAACTTTGCATAAAAGAGAAGACCCCATAAAGGAAATAAAATCCAGTGAATGACACTGACCAACACGTAAGCCTTCATTTCATGAATTGGAGGCAAGGAACTGGGTTCGTCACAACCTCTGCGATTGGTGCTTGTCCGCCAATGCAAGTCAATCTGGTGGGGAGTCGATCGAAGCAGTGATACCGTTGGATTGAGGGTGAGTTGTACAATTTTCTTCGGCAAGAGGAGATTAGGATGGTGAGGAGGAGGTTATCCAAGTGTCGATTTCGATGGAAATGTTTGGAGCGACCAAAATGGTTGAGCGTTTACTTGGCGAAGGCATATTTGAGCCCGTTTCATCAGTAGCGCATTATCCATCCGTGTTCAGCAAATTAACCACACTCCACCTTTCCATATATGTATACCTCCGAAAATTGCTCTGGCATAACAATAGAGGTGGACAGGGTTAGTTAGTTGTGTAGTCCGGTGGGAAGGTTTAGACAGACGACGATATTGAGTGTTTAGTGGGTTAGGGCACTATTTGGGCTTGTTTACCTTAGTATCACCTTTTCCATTCGTGTTTGGCAAACCAACTTCGCTCAACATTTCCATATTACCCTCTCTTAAAGACACACGTACCACATATTCACTCAAAACTTATGTGTTCAAAAATATCATTGCTTTATGATAGTTATAAAAATCAATTCTATGTTAAGAATTCCACATCACTTCTACATATTAAATACTGCAATTCGATATGCAATATTTGAAGTAATGACATTTGGGTTGCGATTTTAAATTTATCTTCACTTTATAATATAAACAAAAGTTGAATTAAGTATTAAATACCTAAAAAATATTTAAGGTAGAGTTAGTGGATTAGCTAATTATGGTGGGAATAATCCTATGATTTTTAAGATTTTAGCTTTCTATATGTTTTTAATTTCAAAACATTAAACAAATTTATTTAGTGTAATTGATCAATGATTATGCTTTTTTCAGTTTTTTGTATTGATCACGGTAAAATCTCTTTTTTTTTTTTTTTTTTTTGTGATTAAGAAAATAATAAAAAAGAAACAACCTTTTTATTTATCTTTCTCGTTTTAGGTTTAGGGTTTCCATGATCTCCTCCAAAGACGATGTCGACGAATGATATAAGAGATCCTTGATTTTAGCTTTTTCCCTGAAAGATTTCTCACCTCTTGAATCAGCAGAGCCAAACAGATAGTTGGAGACCGCGCCGTGCTTCCATGGTTAAAGAGGTCGGAGTCGAAGTTTCAGCCTTGGCAGGTAGTGATGACGGTTGCGATTCGCCGAACGACGCAGCCTCTCATAATGGACGCGATCGACGAGTTCCGCTACAGTTCATCCTGGTGTAGCTCCTTAGCTTTGCATCTCGATACCACCGCTGCTGCGCTCCAAGCGCGCTTCAAGGAGCTGCAGCTAGCGGAGGGAAGGGTAGAGGAAGGTATGAAGGAACTGGAGCGGAAGAAAAAAGAAGTGGAGAAGGAGATCGAGGCGGCGAAACGGACGCTGGCGGTGGTCGATGCGAGGGACGGGGCGTTCGAGCTCCTGACGAAGAGGGAGATTTCGGGCCAGAAAAAGCACATTGAAGCAGAGTTGGAGGAAAAGCGAAGGGAAGTCGAGGCGAAGGAGAAGGGAATCGAGGAATGCCTGAAGCGGTTCGGGCTGAGGGTAAGGGAGAAGGGATTCGAGGAGCAATTGGCGGAACTCCAGGTACGTTTGAGTCAACTGATTTCTGATGAGGGAGAGTTGGATGAGGAAGAGAGACAATGGAGAAAAATCGAATCGAATACTAAGCGTTGCTTTGATGAGTTGAGAGCAAAAGAGAATGAGTTGGAGCGGAGAGTGGTTGAATTCAATCGGAAAGTGGCGACACCTTATTTGCGTTTGGCTGAAGTGAGCAAGGGAGAGAAGTACATAGATGAGAGGGAGACTGAGTTACTAGAACTCAAAGTGAAAAAATCGTTGAACGAGCTCAAGTCGAGTGAGGAAAAACTTATGGACAAATGCAAGATTCTTGACAAACGGATCAAAGATGTTGAACTGAAGGAGAAGCAGCTGGAAGAGAGGCTTAAGGAATTCGACCCTGAAGAAGGTCAGGAGTCATTTTCAGAGTTTGAAAAGAAGCGGGCTCAGAAAATATGTAGAGAAGGCGCTGCCTTACTTTCGTACCACCTAAAACTGTTAAAAACACAGAAGTCAGAAAGGTCAAATTCACCACCAGCTCAGCTGCCGGAAAGGTTATCCAGCGACCAAGGTAAGCCATTTGAGAGTAGCCTTCCATTCCACTGTTGTGATAGCTGCAATGAGTAATACCATTGTTTGTTATCTTTATTGTGAGGTGTGAATCTCATCATTCCTTCCGTTCGCAGCCACAAATAGGGGAAGCTGGTGTTAGAATTCTTTTAAGGTTTGCTTTGTTAGATGTGCGTTCTGCCCTCTCATTTTCGAAATACATGGTTTCTCACAATACATTGTTTTTCTTGTCTAATTTCGATACAAAAACCATGTAAGTCAGACCCATACAATCCCAAAATTCATGGGATCTTGTATTGTGAGACTGTTGGCTTTGCCCAGAGACTCCAACGGATACATGGATTTGGTCTTTTGTTTGGTAGAAAAATCAGCACTGCGCAGTTTTTGCGCCCTGCGTCACTTCATTAAGGATTCGAGTTGTTCATTGAAGAATTTCTTTATTCCCCGTGAATTATATACTTGGTTCAGCTTGTTAGCAGTATTGAATCTGGACAATTGACTTCCTAAATCAACTGGGTCAACTTTCCTTCCCATCATAAGCTAGTCTTTGCAGTAAAGCCTGTATGTCATACACCAGTGTTCAATGCTCTGAGTTTTTCATTTTGTTATAGAGATCTGCTTTAAATGTCGTTCAATTCCTGTGCCTTGTTGTGCTAGGGTTTGTTATGATCCTTACTCAATGTTCTCTTCCCTTGTATGTGTTAGCAGGCTGCAATTCTCCTATCCCCATCAACGAAGCAGTTTCCTCGCCCTCGAAATCGCTGTCTGTGCCACAAGGTCGTGATGCAAGTCATGAAATGATATGCTTGAGACTCGAGAATATACTAAAACGCAGGGAGTTGGCCGACAGGTTTGGTGCCCACATTTCAGCCCTGGAGCAGAAGGAAGAGAAACTTGAAGCACACAAGAACTTGGAAACCGGTGCTGGAGGACCTCCTTCCTTGCTGGATCGTTGTTGAACCGACAGAAATTCCTTCTGCATCCTCCAAGGCTAATGTCAATCCAATCGCAATGCCATTTACTGACTCGGTTTCTTATCTTTTTTGCTTCAACCTCTGAATTGAGCGATTGTATTAGTTACTTTTTATATGCTTGGTCATCCCTAGGCGTGATTGACATGAGTGTACTCAGTCGTATGATGCTTAAATCATTGTTTACCTATTTATTCATGGACATATAAGTAGTAGTCTGCGGACATATACAAAATTATGAGTAGTTCTTGTTGACTCATGTTAGTATTCAAGCATTTACTGTGATGACACGCTGCAGTAAGTGGAACTGAAGTTGGCTTAGCTCTATTCAATCAAAGACAAAACTGATTGAAGGCCGAAGCAGTGCTGGGAGAAGATTTATGGGAGATGAAAAAGAATTTGTTCATTGCAAAATTCTATAGAGCAGCAGACACAATGAAAGTGAAGGAACAATAGACTTGCTTGCAAGTTGTAGTTCTGAAATCATTTTGAGCTGAAAGAAGCTGCACTAAGTGCTACGGAAATATCCATCAAAAGTCAAGACACTAGTTAAAAGTGAAATACAGTAGCAGAAATTACTTCAGTCCAAGAAACGAACGCAGCAAAGAGCTTGCTTGAATCAGTGGAAGAGCAGAAAATTTCTATTCAAGCATTGAGCTGGTTCATCAGTCTAAAAATAAAGAGTCTTGACATGGCTAGAGACAAGATGGAGGCATACTGCAGCAAGCTGGAGTTGATGCTAACAAAGCACTCTTTGATCAAGACAAAACGATTATCATTCATTCTTCATCCTCCATATCAATGTCAGTTCCAAATCTAGCCTTGAGTCTCTCTGCTTCATCATACAGGCTCTGCTCATCTAGCTCTTTAATATCAACTGGAAGAAAAGGAAAGAAAGTTTCAGGTCAGTAGTTGAAAGGGGAGACCAACTGAAAGGAAATGAAAACATGCCAATATACTTACTCGCCATTCGCTGTGCTAGCCCAAGGTGTTTCAGCAGCATGGTTGCCTGGCTGTGGCTGGCTACCCAAGAAGCGCGACGCAACATAACTGCTAATAACTTGTCACCATAATCCGACCGAAGCCCATAAGCCGTAATCAACAACAAGGATCCTAGAAGTTGGACACCGAGAACTTCGTCCAACTCATTCCCCCGCACCTTATTCATCCATTTGGCTGATAGTTCGTGAGCTTCCTTTTTTGCAGATGGGGAAATGACAGGAGCCAAGTATGCTAGCTGCTCCAATAAGAAAATGCAGCTCTTCCTGACTTCAAATGTAACTCCTTGCTTCGCCAAATGAGGAGGATAGAAACCTTGGATTGCATCCAAGACTAATTTGGCAGGATCTGTTGCCAATGTGAGAAATGTAGCAACATCACCTTTCACAAAAGAATAACCCTCATTCAAAAAGATCTGCAGCTCTTGTCCATTCATGACCTTTAAAAGCTGAAGGTGTGCTCCTTCAAATCTATCCACTGTTTGACTAGTACCTTTCACCTCTTTACCCATAGCCAGCTTCTTTGACATCCTTAGCATTTTGACCAATGCTCTCCTCCTTGGCTTCCACATATTCCTGAAATCACGAACCTCTCTATCAGCCAATTTCATTCCCCCCACCACTTAATTCATAGATAGGCTCTCGATTTCTCCAAGATTCAAGCATTAAGCTTACCTGGAACTCTATGATCTTCGTTTTGAGCTTCTCCTCTCGTACCTCAAGATCCCTTTGGTTCTTTCTCACTTCTGCTTGAGCCTCCAGAACGATCAGCGCCTGAGCTTCCACCTTGCCCTTCTCCGACGGGATATTCTTTGCCGCAATCTCCACTGGTGACTTCCTCTTCGCCAGCTCCTTCTTCAAGTCTTCTATATTCCGCTCGAAACCTTCCACCCTCCTCTTCGTATTCCTCAGGCTTTCACAACATTTCTTCAATTTGATGACCACCGAATCCAAGCATGAGATCACACCGTCGACATTTTCAGGCAGCTGCCGGCTGAACTCCTCAACGGGCACCGCTGGAACTTGCCGGAGCCTCGCTGGACGAACTTTCTCCGTCCCCTTTTTCTCCGTCTACTCCCATAGAATTACAGAAGAAGAACTCAGGGGTCGTTTGGATGAGTTTATTGACAATGTAGTATTTGTAGGTTCGAATAACTCATTTTTTCATCTGGTGGTATTTCAGAGGTATTTGAGATTGATATATGGTATTTTAATTTTAATTGTGTTGTTTGGATGAAAGAGTTATTTGTGTGTGGTATTTCATAAAACAAACCGAAAATACTTTATTGCCCTTCTTACATTGCCCTTCTTCCTGGAATTTTTTTTTTATCATCAATCGATCACAACCACTACCACCGCCTGATAGTGGAAGAAATACTAGTCTCTAGTGAGAAAGAGATACATACAACGCCAAAGTTCAATTAAGGAGAGGAAGAATTCGCATGCACAATTAAGGAATGGTTAGAGGTGGAATCTATTAGGGATTGGACAAAACAGAGCAGAATTGAAGGAAAGGGAAAGATTGCATAAATCAGTATACAAGTCTTCCCACCGTCGCCGCTGCCGTTAGAGAAGGAACGAGAAGAGTGAGAGGAATCGATCGAGGCGGACCGCACGAGGAGGAACGAGAAGAGGGAAGGAATCGCAGGATGGTTCTCCTTGTCGTTGCCGCCGCCAGAGAAGGAGTCGCCGCCGCATCAATCGAATTGGACTGCAGGAGGAGGAACGAGAAGAAGGAGAGGAATTGCAGGAAGTTCTTCCTGCTGTCGCTGTCGCCAGAGAAGCCTTTCTTCGCCGCCGCCATAGAAGGAATCGCCACCGCCAGAGAAACCTTCGCTCGCCGCCGCAACCTAGGCTTCAGCCTACTCAAACTGATCCGCATAAAGAATGGAATTCAAAGGTTGCAGAAGAAACCTCCGCCGCTCAATGGATTTTGATTTGGGGCTGAAGAATCGAAGAAGAGGAGAAGAAGCGTAAAAGAGAGAGGAGAGAGATTGGGGGCATAATAGGGTGTTTTTAACGCAAAACGCGTTATTCAGAAATAACTGGGTATCCCCCCTGTTATTTTCAATAACTCGTTTTTGAGTTATTTCGGAATAACTCATGCTTAAATACCACATTCAACTTTTGTTATGCCAAATAAGTTATTTGGTCCCGAATAACTCACAATGAGTTATTTGGTACCAAATAACTCGTAGCAATAACTCATCCAAACGACCCCTCAGAAAGATTTGCCGAACCTTTTTCTTGCCGCTCTGCAACAGAAGCGCGACTTCGATTTCGCGCTTATTTACTTTTTCTCTTTCCTTCCCCTCCCCCAATGTTCTAGGTTCCTCTCTCCTCCCCCGGTACCCGATATTCTAGCCGTAAGTGACCATTTCTTGGGCCTGGCATTGCTTTATTATTGGGCTTAACTCCAACGCGAAAGAAAAATAGTAAAATACACACGCTCTTTCCATCCCAATAAAAAAAATACAATTTAATATCCAAACCTTTCATTTTAAATAATATAATAGCCAAACTTTTTCGAAAACAATCTAATATCCAAATCGTCAACTTTCCGTTCGTTTGACCGTTAGTTGACACTTCAAAAAATCTTTGTTTAGGGGAAATTGGCACAATACAACTTTGTTTCTTGTTTTGGCATTGCAGATGCCTGGATATTTAGACATTTTATACCATAAAAAAAAGATATTTGACCGCTAGTGCTACCTAAGTATATCCTTTTCCGCTCAAAACAAAGAAACGTTCTATATAAGTTAACAATAGTAACTTGTACAGACTCAATACCGACATCTGACTTTACGGTCAGAGATAAGAGAGAGTCGGGAACGAATCAGATCAATAACCTTATGGTGAGTAATAGGGATGACAACAAAACCCGAACCCACGGGTACCCTCCTGACCCAACTCGATCAATGCGGGTAAAATTCGTGTTGACAGGTTTTGGATCGGGTTTTGGGTTTAAACTCGTTCACTATTCATTGGGTTGGGTTTGGGTTTAGGTAAACCCGACCCATGGGTACCCGCCCACACTCATATAATTAATTTTCTCGGTATATTTAATATTCTAAACAACTAATCTTATTTATGTTTGTGGAGACATGTCTAATTTTTTCTTTGTAATTGTGTAGAATGAAGTTGATGTTATCGAGTGGAGAGTGAAGAAACTTAATTGAAAGGAAGAAGTTTTCAATTAATCATGTTATTTATGGATAATTTGTGATTTACTTCAATTTTCTTGAGTTTTCTAGATTGGTGTTGAACAATTTGTATAGTTAATTAGTGATTTGCTTGAATTTTCTAGAATGGTGTTTTATATATGAACAATTTGTATTGAGAGATTGATATTTGGCTTTAATTTTGATAGGAACTTGTTATTGTAATTTTTTACGACAAAAATCCATGGCTACCCATGAACCCGCGGATACCTAGCGGGTTGGGTTGGGTTTGAGTTTTTCAAACCCAATGGGTTTTACCCTGGGTTTTTTTCATGGATAAACCCATGGGTTTGGGTTTGGTAAAACCCGACCCACTGCCATCCCTAGTGAGTATAGGTGTCAATCGGGCGGGTTCGGGCTGGGTTCAATCGGGTTCGGATTCAAACGGGTTGCGGGTTAGTCGGTTGCGGGTTAGTCGGGTTCGGGTTCATCGGGTTCGGGTTCAAACGGGTTGCGGGTTAGTCGGGTTGCTGGTTCATCGGGTTCGGGTTCAATCGGGTTGCGGGCAAATCGGGTTGCGGGTTCATCGGGTTTTGGGTCGGGCGGGTTGTGGGCGGATCGGGTTTCGGGTTGTTCGGGCCAGCGCATCAAGTAACTTAACTCATTACTCATTACCAACTTACACATTTTATTACACTAATTTAAAATATTTTCTCAACTTGTTAACCAATTTATTTCTACCTCGTATATATGTACTTTATTTTTTTGAAAAAAACTAGTCAAAATGTTAAATCAATTTGTATGACTTGCAAACTTGTTATGTAATTAATCATAATTGGTAAAGTATTATAACTAATAGTAATGGTGATATCAATATTTGCAACCAAAAGACACCATTAATTGTTTATTTGATATTTTAGTATTAATTCAGTAGTAATTGGATTAAAGTATCTCGTTTAGTATAACCATGCAAATCTGGTATTTGGCGTGTGGTATTTGGCAAAAGCATAGTGATAAAAGGAGTTATTTCGAAATAACTCATTGCCCAAATAATTTCAGTAAACTGTTGCCAAACGAGTTATTTGAAAAATTGTTCGAATTATCCTAAAAATTGAACCATTAAAGATTAGCTATCAAATTTAGTAAAATTATTGTTACTTCAATCATAACTTACTCAACAGCCTATATCCTATACAGTTAGCCTTACCCTCAATCAACAATATTAAGTTAGTATATGTTGTTGATTGTATACCCTAAACCATCAATACATTATACACTAACCACATAACCTATACCCTATACCCTAACCATATGTCTTTGAGTTGTGATTTTGCTAGTATAGTTAATTTAAAAGTGAAATTCATACTTTGATTTTCAAAATATAGATAAAAAGTGATATTTGCTAATTGTTATACCTTAACCATATATCTTATACTTTACACCACATACATTGTATCCTAACCACGTACCATAAACATAAATTAAAAAGGGATCTCCTACCGTCAAAACCATCAATATCTTATACCCTAACCATATACACCCTAAACCATATGTACCTTATACCCTATACCCTATACCCTAAACATATACTTTATATCCTAAACAACGAACCGTCAAAGATTACTTATCAAGTTTAGTATAAATTGTTGTAACTAATGGTTAATTTCTTTATTAGCCCATAAACAATTACATACATATATATATATATTAGCCTTCAAAGCATATAAGAATAATTTTAACTAGTCATGTCCTCCATATAAAAGTTAAAGATTCATATTTCAAAAGCTAAAATTATGAAAAACCAAAAAATTGAAAACACCAAATTTGTTTCCTTCTTTCTTTTCACAAAAATACTAATTTGTTGTTCGATCCGTTGGTCGGAATGTCACTTGAATATGATATATTTAAGATGTACATTCACATGTTAAACTAATTGTTAAAATCAAATTAATTAATAAACTATAAAAACCAAAATATCTATCATAAAGCATAACCAGGAATAAACCCTAAACCCTAACCATAAACCCTAACCCTATAACACCATTTTAAATCTGAAACCTATAACTAACCTTAACCATCAACCATACACTATCCTAAATCACAACCATAAGTCCATAACCCAAACATGCAAACACTGAACTCTAAACCATGACCCTATACCCTATACTATAGTTATATGTTATGAAATTGTTAGTATAAGCTATAACGTATGTTATGTGAAGAATGTTAGTTAAGTCAATTTTGTATTCAGTCATTGAGAAGAACATACCACTACAGGAAAGCAGTTTTCTAGTCATGGGATGCTATTCACGAGATTTTTTGCCGTACTAAGAAGTATACTAGTAGTCACGCGAAAAATTACCGTATTCGATTGTATAGTTCTTATCACAGGAATTGGTTTACGTGTTTTTTAGTCTTAATTTCCCGTGATTAAATACTAGTCATGGTTAGTTATCGTGAACAATTTTACAATTCACTTCTGCAAATTTTAGTTGAAAATAAGAAATATTTTCAAAAAATTGTTTTTGGATCACAAAACGATAAATTTCGACTCTTTCAAATTCCAATATTAGAAATTTAAAATCAGTCCAACTTTTACTACTCTAATATTGAACAAATATAGATTTGAGACTTTTTCGAAAAAAAAATAGAATCGAGACTCCAAAAATTTTCAACAACTAAGCTGAATAATTACAAATCTCGTTAAATTACAACTCCTTTTACAAACCACGAGAATTTGGCTCTCCCGCAATATTTACCCGCCTCCCAATTCAAAAAATTGGCTCTTCAAAAAATTGGCTCCGAAATTCCAAAAAGTTTGGCCCTCCACAAAGGATTACCGCGCTAGCCAAAATCTCCCTCTTCGTTCCAAATAAAACAAAATCTCAAAAGGCCCCCCATTATGTTGAGAAGCTTAGCTTCTTTCTTTCCTGGCAAGTGGCAACCTCTCCTTCCGATGGCTGATACGCCTTCCTCACCAGACACCCTGCCTTTTGCTTGCATCAATTGTACTTTGGCTCCAAGAGTTTGTCTTGATATTAGTGTTAGTGATTAGTATTTAATCACAGGAGTAACAGTGAATAATAGGACAAGTCACATAAATTATATAGATATATTATCTACATATAATATTTATGCACAAAATATATTATATAGTATTATTCGTGCCAATCGGGCGGGTTTGGGTTGGGTTAATCGGGTTCGGGTTAGTCGGGTTACGGGTCAAGCGGGTTGCGGGTCAGGCGGGTTGCGGGTCAAGCGGGTTGCGGGTCAATCGGGTTCGGGTCAAGCGGGTTGCGGGTCAAGCGGGTTGCGGGTTACACGGGTTGCGGGTCAAGCGGGTTGCGGGTCGGGCGGGTTGCGGGTCTTTGACTTTTAGTCCAATCGGGTTACGGGCGGGTCGCGGATCGGGTTGGTTGGGCGGGTTACTCGGGTCGGGTCATGTTTTGACACCTATACTAGTGAGTAACCATGAGTAACATGTCCACATTAGCATGACATCAGCATCTCTCTCTCTCTCTCTCTCTCTCTCTCCTCTCCTGGAAAGGCTTTAATTTTCCCCTCCTTAATCTTTGAAGAACGATTTCTCACTCGTTTTAAGTTGAAATTTAATTTTTTTGCACAGTTAGATCGGATTAATTGTGCTCTTCAAAATTATATCTACTTTGATATATTTTTCGAACAAAAAAAATTGGGCAATTTTTTACCAGTCTATACCATA